TCGATTTCACGTGCTATATGTGAAGTAAATATATTCTAGCTGAATACATTCAGGTTGAATACATTCATTTATATAAAATGACATACAAATTTTACAAACGTACTCGTAAGTAATTCGAAATACATCCATATATGTGTACTCTTTATATATATTGCTCCTAGTATTCATCTGAATGTGTATATCATGCATTTAAATAATTTATTGTTCTATATTGAACATGTGTTCATTTATTGCTCGTATAAAATGAATATGTTCATTTCATTACATTTATGAATTTATTTGTTTCTTATATATTGTATACAATCTGAAAATAATGTATCATTCGCGTAGTATTTATTTATTCCTCGTACAAAATGAATACGTTCATTTCACTACATTCACGAATTTATTTATTCTTCGTGTAGACGAATACAGAAGTGAGTAACATAAATAAAGCATATGAATAATACAAAATGAATGATACGAGACGAATAATATAATAAAATTCTACGTAAAACAGATCGAACACGAAACAAACACGTTCACTCGGACGTCGTGAAACGAAACTTGGACACCGAACTTGACTCGAGGATTCGATAAGTACATATTGGACTTGATCGCAATCCAGGCCAGTCAGTCGTGACAGATTCGTGTTCAATCGACGAGTTCCCGCGAACGTCGAGCTTTCATCTCGCGAGTGGAACTTAGGCGTGCCGAATTGGCCATCGACTGCCGGGAAATTCTCTCTCTCTCTCTCTCTCTCTTCCTCTTTCTCTTTCTTTCTCTATCTCTCTTTCGGGCAAACGGCATTTGTAATTCCATCGTCACGACGAAAGTCGTGTTTCGAAAGCCCGGGCTTCGCGTCGAGACGGGGCTTACAAGTCAAATATCAGAGAATTTCATTTGAATGTTACCGCCGCTTTATTCCGTTCGATTGGCGAACTTTCGCGCCGACGATGGAGGCCGACCGAGTCGTCGAACTCTGGCGTTTTCATTGGGGCACAGTGGCGAGGACAGAGGCGAACCGTATCTTTTCTCTCTAATTGAGAAGTTCGAAGCTCGAGGGATGACAGTCTCGCAAGCTTCGTCTCGTTGAGTTTCCGATTTACAATTATGACGAATCATCACTGTTGATCGATACTGTGGATATTCGTGCAAAATCGTACACCGTGCG